ATTGATATTATTATACCTACGAGCAATATGTTATATAATAGAAAATGTTATTTTTAAATTTAAATTCTCTAATTATGTATTCAGAAAATTGATAAAAATGGCTACCCCAGCGAAAGCTTAGCTTTTTGAAGGTGCTGCATTATTGTAAAATTGTTAATATAATCCACAAATGTATTGTACCTATATTATTGTTGCAAGTACATTATTATTATTATATATATATTCGAATATTTTTATGCTTTGAAGTAAACGTTTATCGCCCAATCTTCGGGTACACTTAAAAAATGCATATTTAATTTGCAGACCAATCTCCGGGTAGTAAAATGTAAACAAATATTTTATACGAAGCAGGTGGATAAAATGTGGCCCAGTTACCGACCGCCCTTATTATATATATTACCAGGGCTGAGGACCTCTAGTTTTTTCATATTTTTTTAGAAATATTATAGAAAAWTTCTAGTAATCAACGAATGTGTTTCATAATATCAGGAGATCAAATTTAAAATTTTATTTCGCATATTTTTACATATTTTGTTATTATTGCATATATAAATGCATATCTCAGTATATTAGAAAAATTGAAAACATATTTGGCAATTTTCGAAATAAGTTCTTAAATTAATTTAGACAAAAAAGAATGAAATGGTAAATTTTCCATTTAAAAATAATATCTTCATTATCGGTTAGGTAATTTAATATCTGACCGATAAACCGATAACGATAGACGATGTTTTAGCAAAAAATAATGGTTATAAAACATTAAATACAATTTCTCAAAAATACTTAAAAGCAAATGAATTGTTATTTTTTAAATATGCACCGCTTACTTCCGTAGATGTAGAGAAATTTTTCTCAACATATAAAACATTGTTAGCAGATAACAGACATTCGTTTCAATTTGAAAATCTAAGGAAGTATTTTATCATTCAATGCAATAGTAAATAGGTAAGTAATACAACCTTTAGTTAACTTAGTACATAGGTATTCATAAATAAAAAAAAATTATAAAATACATTATTTTTTTCAAGATTAAGATGAAGAAAACGAAGAAAGAAAACAAAATTATCAAGAAGGCAACGAAAACATTTAATTTTTCAAGTATTTATTTTAATAAATTTATCATAATGTAATTTTTTTTAAAGCATATTTTAAGCGCATATTTCTTAATTTTTAAGAGCATAAATGCATGCATATTTTTAGATTTTTAAGTACTAGAAGTCCTCAGCCCTATATATTACACACAGACTATTATATAATATAGGTAAGCAATTCTTTCTTAACCTTGATCTTAAAAAAATAATTCATTAAAATTCTTTAAGATACCTTTACAATTAATAGTTTACATTTAATCTTGTCGWTTATAATTTAACATTTTACTATAAAGACATAAAGTTGAAATATATTCACAAAAGGTAGGTACACCCTCTAACATCAATCCTCATCAACATTCAACACTGTTTTAAATTTTAATGATTTTATTTTATATTGTTGATAAATGATAATGTACAATGTACATGCTACTTTCCGCCGTCGTAATGAAACGATTTCTATAACGATAATATATATATATATAAATCTTTTGAAGATAGATCATCATTATAATTATTATCATTATA